ATATATATATAAATTTATTGACTGTGTGCAGTCAGGTCAGTCCATAAAACTCATGAGACTATTCCCTTTCTAATCCAGAATTAGCTTGCCTTTCAAACCATATCACTTCCCTTAGCAGAAAGAACAGTTTAGAGACTATTACTTTGATTTACCACTGTATTGGCTAGTCTGTTGGAGAGAAGATTTGACTTTATAATTGATATAGGCTAGCCATAGGACAGACAGTAAATCTGCTTGTTTTCTCTTCTGAGCTACAGCCAATCACAGAGTCGTGACATGACTCAGGCTTCAGCCTACGACCATATGATGCCGTTTCAGAGAAGCACAAAATTTGGATTTGCTGTCTACAAAATTTGGCTTTTTAGTTATATTCTTATCACGAAGCAGACAGTGTTTGTTAGCTTTATCTTTTCCACAGCACAAGCACATGAATCTCTTCAATACTATAAATCAGAGACAATTGTATGTACAACAGTCATCCCATGGTGCTTATAGTAAGGTAAAGACCCGACAATATTGGGGGGAAATCAACCTTTATATCATTAGCAATTATATTGTAATTTGAGTTTCTTAAATATAAACACAGCATGGGAATGTGTGTTTAAGTCTTACATTCACATATTTCTGATCCAAGTATCTGTAATGCATATATCTGTATTTTGTCCTCTGTTAATACTTTGTTGTCATTATCACCCCCAGGATGGTATTGTCAATCCCACGGTCAGAAAGGACATGAAGGGCTCTCAGAAGCTTTACTGCTGTCCTATTGAGGGTTGTCCCAGAGGCCCTAACAGACCTTTCTCCCAGTTCTCCCTGGTTAAGCAAGTAAGCATTTCCTCTGTGAAATGTAATCAGTTATTGTTCTATTTTTAAGAACCACTTGTGCAACTTAAAAAATAACCTTGCATTTTTAATGTAAGCAGTGTTAAATAATTTACTGCATGATTAAGTTGTATACAGTGTCCTGTAGTCTGAACTGAAAGCCTCTGATACAATAGGTTGAGGAAAAAAGAACTGCCTAATGTGAAACACATGTATCAATATGAAATACCATCTTAGCATTTCTACTCTGATTCTTGTAGCACCGCAAAACACAGGGAAAAGCTGCCTTTCTTTCCTAGTTTTGCCTAAATTATACTGTGACCTTTAACTGGGTGAATCACTAGAAAGAAGTAAATGGACATGTGCTTTCCTTTTCAAATTCCATTTGGACATTTTTATTTTAAAGCTATTTTCTGCTTTTGATTCATTTCATTTCAGCACTTCATGAAGATGCATGCAGAAAAGAAACATAAGTGCTCCAAGTGCAACAATGGCTACAGTACAGAGTGGGACTTAAAGAGGCACATAGAAGACTGTGGAAAGACCTACCACTGTACATGTGGCTGCCCCTATGCTAGCAGGGCTGCTCTACTCTCACATATCTACAGGACGGGTCATGAAATTCCAACAGAGCACAGGCATGTACAGGGATAACCCCAACACTTTCATTCATATACTGTATTTTGTTCTCTCCATGCATTTATGATTGTTATCATTTTATCTAATTTATTTATTATTTTGCAGAATTCCCCCAGTAAAAAAGAGAAAGATGGAAAAATTGTTAAGTGGTTCTGAAAAGGTTAAGATCAATGATTCAACCTTCCAGATCATCCCTGCTGCCACAGAGCAGACAGACACTTCTCTCCCTCCTGATACAACCATTACTATCCCAGACTCCCGGAGGAGCCTGCAAAAGTTGCTTTTACCAAAACCCAAGATGGCTTTGGTTAGTGTTCCTGTGATGCAGGTGGCTCATTTGCCTGTACTCCTTCCATCTACAGAAAGTGGGGCTCTGAGGTCTGTAGTGCTTGCTGTAGATAGCCAAGGTTCTGTTAGTGCCCTTCAGCTCCTTCCACAAGCCACAGGAGCAGTGGTACCCCAACTTGATGCTAAAAGTTTGGGTTTCAAGGATAGCATGCCTACTTCCCGCTCTAGCCAGGGGCCTATTAGCACAGGAGTGCAAGTCAATCTGGATCCAGTAGGTGCAGAGGATTCAACCATCAGCATGGCAGCACAGCGAGGAAGGAGCACTTCCACCAACATTCAGACAGACAAATCGTACTTGTCAAAAATGCCCACAGGAGTAGGGGTTGGGGAGGGACTAGGCTTGTGCTCTGTGGGCGAGTCCTCTGTGTCTTCTTGCTCCCAAACAGACATCAGTGTCAGTGCCCAAGTCCTTTTGCCAGTCAGTGTTGAAACCCAAACATTCTTCTCCCGAGCCAAATCCACATCGTCTATTGGAGCTCAAACAGACAGCCAGTGCCTGAGCCAAATTCCCTGCGCATCCTCTTCTGTGCTTCCATACAAAACCAGGCAGACACAGACATACTTTGCCATGCCACAATCGGAGGAGAAGGCTCAGAACCAGGCTGTCATGTGCTCAGACCTATTTGGCAATGACTCCCTCAGTGTGTCAACCCAAACAACTTTGGACATAGATGACACCCTTTGTGCTGCAGGAAGCACTATATATGAGGACTCAAAATCAGAAGGTGGTATGTGTTTTGGGGTGCAGACGCATGAGCTGAGTGCAAACAACATGGCAGACAACCAGACCCAAACAATGACCTTGTTAAATGACCTGGAAAACATCCTGTCTGACAGTATGTCAGGCCATCAGGTGCTCACAGAGGCTTCTGCAGGCTGTGGGTCAAGTCTCAGCTCTGTTCAAGAGCAACATAACGGCATCGACTTTGATTTTGAAGAATTCCTCAATGCTGTGCACATCCAGACACAGACCGAGGAGAGTGAGCTGGGAGGACTGGGTGGTGACACGCCAATGGAGTCTCTAGACATTCAGACACAGACAGACTTCCTACTGATGGATGATCTGGACCAAAGTGAGGGACCAAGCCGAACCCAAGCCAGCGACTTGGAGCTATTTGATACTCAAACTCAGACTGACCTCAATTTTCTGCTGAATGCTGGAAGCCACATGCCCCTGAGCAGCATCTTGCGACATTCAAGCTTTTCTATGAGCACAGAGTCATCAGACACAGAAACACAAACAGATCTCCCTTCATTTGCCACGAGTCTCTCTGCTCAGACTCCTGTCACTCAAGGAGAGAATGCAAGACTGCTGAACAGCACAGAGACACAGACTGTGACCAGCCAAGCAGAAGGCCTAGGAAACCTGTTCCTGACCAGCAACGAAACCCAAACTGTCATGGATGACTTCCTGTCAGCGGACTTGGCGTGGAACATGGAGTCCCATTTCAGCTCTGTGGAAACCCAGACATGTGAAGAACTTTGTGCTCTGTTTCAGCATTCTGAGAAACCCAACAGCTGAAGCTTCCCATGCCTTTGCAATAAAGGTTTCTGATATCTGCCTCTTCCTATAAGAGGAAATGGTTTATGCTGTCCTCTGGCAAATCAAACCATAGTCTTAGCAGCAAGAAGTCTGCAGATATGTTTTCAACCATTCCACTGGGGGCATAATGTCCAGAGCCCTTCCTGGTGTCTATCCTGACAGCATTGCTGCACTTTATTAGCTCAGTGGGCATGACCCATGAGCTCCCGTGACAGTTTACATATTTATTTGCACATAAGGTAACATTGTACGTGTCTTGTCTAAAATGCAAGCTTACTTGTATATTTCAGTGCGTAGCCAATGTGACTGGTCACTGTTTGGTCTTAAGAAGTTGTAAAAACATTTAACATTACATAAAGTTTATCTCTGCACTTAAAAGGGATGACATACATACCTATATATGGCTGTCATGAAAGGCTTGTAAAATTGCTACCTTGTATGACAGCTTTCAAATATAGCTGTACTGCTGTAAAACAATCTCATCTCAGCTGTACAGTATACAATATTGTACGTTTAGTTTACATACGTATGCAATGCGCATGAAGCCTTTAAGCAGCACAACATAAAATATTGATTCTGCACATGTGCATCTGAATGCTGCATCTTCAATGTTACCTTGTCAGTGGCAACAAGACTGTAAACTCTGACATTGCAGGCAGCTGAAAACATGACAAGTGAGATTTTTTTTTCAAAGTAAAGGCTTTGCATTGCTCAAAGCAGAAGATGTGTTGTTGAAATATAACCTGGCACAAAGTAAAAAACAATGTTTGTCCCGTGTTGCGCACCTTGCATTAAAATGTGGTTGTGAAGTCTGATGTTTTGTAAACACTTTTTGTGTCAAGGCCTCTAGTTAAGACTTAATTCAGTAAGCAGGCTAGGCTGTCATCGTCTTTAACTTATTCATTAGCTGGATGTAAGTGTATACATTAGCAGTACACTGCTGAAGTGATCCAGTAATGTTACCGTACACAAAAACAGTGGATTAGAGCTAGGATTAGCACAGATTAACACAGTGTTTTGTTTTGTTCTTTTAACTTAAAGGACTTACACTTTAGACCCAATTTCCTGCACTAATTTTTTTCAAATCACTAAATGTAACTTTTTTTCCACCCCCACTTTTCTTTTTTGTTATATTGTGACCTCAGTTACCTCATAGGCACCACATAGACTGTTCTACATGAGACCACAGAGCTATAGGCCTTGTTTATTTTCCATTTTTGTTGTGTTGGTGCCTTAACCCAAGTATTAACTTGAGTTCTGTTACAGATAATTTGCTGCTTCAAAGTCATGTTTATACTAGAATACCATGATGAATCAACAATGAAAAATATCTGAATCCTTTCAGTCTTTGTTTTGCATGTTTTATCTGTTTAGTATTGATGTTTTTATTGTGATTGCATGCAATGTGGGAATGCCTCTGCTCCATGTTTATGGAAAGATTTACGCTGTGTCACATGAAAATATTCCTTTGCAGCATTTGATTGAAAATAATTACTTTGATTCCATCACATCTTAAATGAATAGTGTTTAATGTCATTACACTTTATGGATGTTTATTAAAACTGAAGAATGTACACAATAATGACTCTGTGCCCAGACATATTATGCTTTTTTTTTTCTCCCACTATTCCCAGTTGGTTTATGGATTATTTCTCTATTTTAGGAAGGTTCACACCTATAAAGTCTGAGCATGTTTTGTTTTAAAGCAGTAATTCCAACTTTTAATTCCTAAATTCTAATGCAATAGAGCTGTTTCCTTGCAGGTTTAGTGGAATGGGGGGAAATGCCTATATTTGAATGGGTAGAAGCTATGTCACTTTCTGGTGTCTGTTACAGTGCTTTACTTTCTCTTTGTAGGGAGTGCATGCAGATATTTTTCCAGCACAAAATATTTGTTTTTGCAGAATTTATTTGATTTTTCTGTTGCCTAAATGTGTCGACTTAATGGCTGCCTTTAATTATTGTTCAAGATACATTATAGATGTTGTTAATAAACTGCTGGCAAGTGTTGATTGTGTTCATTTTTATTTTTTCCCAAAACAAAAATAGGAAAGTAGTTGCTGAAAGATGGACAAACATGATCAATATTTGTTTTGTTTTGTTGTTGTTTTTTAGAAAAAGGTTATAAGTGGGTCATACATGTTTTATTCATGTGATCTTGAGTTCAGTATTACAATTGCACACATTATGTCATCGTCTCTTAAGATTTGGTTGTGCGAAACAAATTTTGCACCATTAGTTTTTTCTAAAACAAAAAACCTTTATAATATTGTACCTTTTTTCTTCTTCTGATGCAGTTACAACCTGCCCAGTATAAACCTAAATCCAGGCCTGTGCATTTATTTTACATCTGTGTAGGTAGGGAAAAGAATTAGAGCAATACAGATAAATGTAATAAGGTAACAAAATTGCCACAGCTTAAACAGTATTATAACAACTGACTGAAAACAGGTCATGAGTCATGTTGACCCTGGAAACCAACATGACCCTTGGCATTTTCAGAAAGAACCTTGGCTCCACCCATAATCCATAACCATTACCAATCCCTTGTTTACTAATATAAAAGTTAAACTGTATTAAGCAGATGCAGTAGTTTGGCCACAGTTTATATTATGAGAAACAAGCTGCGGTGCAATGTTAAAGTTCTGACCAAGTTGTAGTCTGCTTAAATTCAAAAATATTAGTGACCACCAGTGCCACTATTATGCCAGGCCGAATTTCTTCTTCCAGCTAACTGTATTTTAATGGTATGTGATGAGTGAGGCTGACAGACAGGATGCCCTTTATAATGAAAGATGTTGCCTTTACTGCATACTTAAATATTCAAGTGACAGATTTTTATTTCACATGCCTCGTTCAGCTTAAAAGTGAAGTGAGGCAAAGAAGAGGCAGCTCGGGTGCATTTGTGAAATTCCTTGTGAGAGACTTTAGTCCTCAGTGCATTGAGTCAGGTTTGGAAGACATTGTATTTAATACCTCTTGGTATCAAAACATTGTGTGGGTTTTGCCAAAATGTCTGGTACTTGGAGGTCAGCGCTGCAGAGAAAGTGGAAATATCTGAATTACTAGCAGTGTCCACTCTAGTTCCCCTTGTTCCACGCTGCTTGTCTAAAAGGAAACCGTTTTTCTCTGAGGTTTGTTTCTCTGGAGTCTTCTTGTCTCTACAGAGATGACCACTGGCCTTGGCAATCAGGTGAGGTGGGTTAATAGGTGGTAGAAATGTGAAGTTTTTAATGGGAACCACTCTGTTATTGGGACGATGACTATGTTTCCAAGGCTTAGCAGGCTTGTTCTCTGGCACAGAATATTTTGAAGACAGATGGTGAAGCTGAGAAAGTGTCTCTTTATCCATCCCTCTCTCGTATATCTTTTCTTCCAGTAAGAGATGTGTCGGATTTCTCTGCATGGCTTTAAGGAAAGGACATTCTGCAGCATCTGTCTGTTGAGCTGCCATAGCAGTTTGACTCCAAGATCCTGTGTGCTGATTTACTGACACAAACTTCTTAAAATTATCCAGGCCTGCATGAGACTCACAGTGCTGCTCTGTAATGCTGGCTGAGCTGTCTCCATTAGAAGGCACTGGGTCATCAGATGAAGGAGTTCCATTGTCAGCCTCCTTATGCTCTGGTTTCTTGTATGTGTTTGAAGTCAAAAGTATGCAGCTCAGGGGAACAACTCTGGCCCAACCACAAACCTGTTGCAAAACCAAGTTTTTTTTGTTAAGTTCGGATATGTTTAAAGCTAAAAATCACAAAGTAAAAATACTTATTGAACCAAGTAAGAAACATGCAAATAGAAGGAAAGCAGTAAAAGCACAG